ACAGGTCATCTTCAAAGAGAGTGTAGGCAGCATAGGAAAATCAGCTTGGCCACGGAGAGTGAGCTGCGGCCTGCGTCAGAGCATGGGCCAGGGCTACCGAGTTGGGGTTTAAAAGACCCTGAACTTTGCCCCCGCTGCAGGAAGGGAACTCATTGGGTGAGTCAATGTCGCTCAAGATTCAACAGGAAATGATTCCCTTTAGCAAAGGCTTTCCAGCGGGAAAATAGTGGAAGGAGATTGATACAGACCCTGCCCAGCAATGCATGGGAGGCAAGGTGTCTGCCTGCCGGAGCAAAGAATATCTTAGAGAGAAATTGCAGGTATCCTTCAATCTCACAACAAGAGCCTCTTATTGAAAGAGTAATACAGTTTCTATCAGGAAGATTTGACCTAAGTACTCAAGGCATTCAAATTGATACTGGAGTGGATCAGAATTGTGAGGAAAAGCCAAAAGCTGTGATTAAATCAGAAATTATAAAGAGCGGTAATTGGGGTCCGCTACCTAAAAGAACTATGGGATGTTTACTAGGAAGGTCTAATCTAAATTCTCAAGGTGTTCAGATTGTTGCTGGAATTATTGATCAGGATTAGGAAGGAGAAATTAAGGGAATGATAAAATCTGATATACCGTGGTTCATAAAGAAGGAAAATCGCTTAAGCCAATTTTTGCCACCTTGCATATCTAGAGTTAAAAGTTATACCTATCAGGAAAGAGTACTTGAGAAGTCTGACCATCCTTTTAATCAAGGGGTCATTTGGAATGCTATTGTGGGGAAACAACAGTGCCCCCACATGGAATTAGAAATTGAAGGGCAAAGGTTTTTAAACTCTGGATATGGGGTCATTGCCTTAAGGCATCCACGAAGGCAGCCTAAGACTCACCCATTAACTTCCTCTAAATCCAGCTGGGAAGAAATGAGAGAAGTTAACCAGATCAGAATATTGCAAGATTATAAAATCATACAGTGTAATGAGCCTGTAACCTTATAGATAAAATACCTGTTTGGTAAGTTACTTCAAGAACAGCTGAACAAATTTATTAAGAATTTTGTCAGTCTTTCAAATCCAGAGTGAGGTGAGTTCTAACTGTTGGTTAGCTTTCTTAATTCTCTGAGAGCTGGGAGCCGATATTTACATAACAATAGCAAGTTAACTGAGATTGCTAGCAGTGCTTTAAAGTCTACATGGTTAAGAGGAATCTTAAGTGTGACAAAGTTCATTTAGTCAATTTAACCAAAACAATTTTCTCCTTACTAAAAGCTTGTAACAAAATTGGGGCAGATAGACACATGTTCACTTCTACAGAGAAAGCTGGTCCCAAGGACTCCCAAGAAGATGTAAATCACGCTTGGGATCCAGGTCCATCTTTCACCTGGAGAAAGGGCTATGCATTTATGTTTTTGCAGAATAAAGCTGATGGACTCCCTTTAGAAGAACACAACCATGTTTGGAGAAAGATGGACATGAAGGAAATGAAGGAAACACAAAAGCTTAATCATAATTCTGTTTCCAGGTCACTGACACCCCAAAGAGAGGAACTATTTGTTTATATTTTCACAGGCTAAGAAGATAGGTGGATTTCTCTTCAGCCAGCAAGGCCCAGAAGAAAGCAGGGAAGTTGATGTGTGATCTGACCCCCCATCCTGTTACTGAAGCTATTCAAAAGGTCAAGAAGACCTCGCAGATTCCTGAGAGTGGCGATTACTGACTGCTGAGATATTTCTTCCATTGCTGATGCTGTCTAAGGGACTGCTGTCTAAGGGACACTCTGGGACTCTATCATAACTGAACATTTTATACAATAGTGACTGGACTATGACTACAAACTGTTGCTTTGCTCAAAGATCAAGATTTTGGACTTGTCAGTTGTTAAAATGTGATTGGAATGTAGCTGATTTTTGTATAACCCCTTACCCATATAAAGGACATTGCATGATTGGGATTTGATCAGGAAACATTTGCAAAGGTTTAAGAGAAACATTTCATTAGATGTTGATCAGCTTAAAAAGGATATTTTCTATACATTCAAAGACAAGCTTGAGGCATCTCTGGCTCTGATATGATTAAGCAATTGGTGAATGGCATAGAAGGGTTGGACCCGCAAGCTTGGGCTCAAAGAATTTCACATAGCTTAAGTTCCAGTCTGACTGTGTTGTTTATCATCATAATTTTGATGCTTGCAGTCTCATGTCGCTTCTATAGGAAACTAAGAGATATGAAGAGAGACCATGTTGCCTCCATGACACTATTTTCATCTTAAACGTAATGCAGAAGGGGGAAATGTGGGAAACTAGCACTGAGGGAAATAAAACTGGGACTTAATCCCTGACTGGTATGGAGGGAATCTGGAAGACTAGTATTTCATGGCAGGAAGACCGCCACTCTGGTAGTTGGAGATATAGTCCGAGAACATTTTCCTGTGGTAGTCTATCATTTCCACACTTTCTTCCCTTAAAACTGTGCTGTCTTAAAGTGAGCACATGGTTGGTTCTATCCCCCTACAGAAGCAGACGCTCCTTTAGTCTATTTCTTCCTGCCGGCATCCAGCCCCTTTCATACCTTCCTCCAATAGAAGATCGGCTTAGGGGGGACTTTATCCTCCATGCCTGGATTCAAAATGCTTGCTGTAAGCCTGACTTTTTGGCTATTTTAATTTGGTCATTAAATTTGTGTTGACAGCTTTCAATGTATAGAAAATAACCATGTAGCCACTGTGGCTCTTTTGAATTTTATGTATAAAACAAAAGGGGGAGTTGTGGGAAACAGAAGGATTTCTCCCAAGTCATCACCCCCAAATATATGCCAAACTTAGCTGCTTGTGAATGACTATACACTTGAAGGTCATCAGAAGCAGATCAGGGGTTATTCTCCCTAAGAGCTGTCAGCCATCTAGAGCAAGCAGTCACTGCTATTTATCCCACAACAAGTAGGGCCCACTCCCTTCTGATAAGGATAGTAGCTGTCTGTTTCCTTGTAGGAGACCCCAGAGAAGTCTAGCCCACCCAAGGGTGACCAAAGTTAGGGCACCATCATAAATCTAGTGTCCACCATTCTTGTCACATGTATACTTCTAGTTCCTCCCCTTCCTATCACGTGTACAGCCCTAGCTCATCCCCTTCCTGTTACGCCTATGCCCATTGTACATCCCCTTCCTATAATGTGTATGCCTATTGTACTGCCCCTTCCTGTGACCTGTGGTTACCTGTAATCACGGCCCCCTAACTAGATATAACCCTGGGTTATCAATAAACAGGGTCCTTGGGCCTCCTGCGGGGTCTCCGCCCCACCTCCTCAGCCCACACTGTGCGCGGACCTAGCAACCAGTAAGATCATGACCATCCAGGAGGTGAGCATGCTACCATGAAAAAAAAAAAAGACTGAAGCTGGTGGGAGTTTAATGCGGTCCTGTGCCTTGTGGAAAATTCTTCAATCTCAGAAAGATTCTTCAACCAATAACTATGTCATCCAACACAGATATTTCTGTTTCTTCGTATGATGAAGAGCAGGGATCCAAACTTATCAGAAAAGCTAGAGAGTCCCCATTTGTCCACAGTGGAATTGTGGGCTTTACAGCAATTGTGGCATATGGCTTATACAAACTGAAGAACCGGGGAGACACTAAGATGTTCATCCACCTGATCCACATGCGAGTGGCAACAAGGCTTTGTTGTGGGAGCGATGACTGTTGGTATGATCTATTCCATGTATTGGGAATACTGGGCAAAATCTAAGCCATTGAAGAGATGCTGTCTCCGTCTTGTTGGTGTTGCTTGATTAGACACATCCTAAGGAGCCCTGGTGGCTTGGTGGTTATGAACTGGGCTGCAATCCACTTGGTTGGCAGTTTGAAACCAACAGCAGCTCCAGGGGAGAAAGACTGGGCTTTGTACTACTGAGAAACCTCCTTTTGAGGTTCTATGTTTATGTTGAAGATAAGTGATTTACATAAGCTCACCGTTTTGAAGATAAGCTTCTCTTTTGCAGGTTTGACTTCCCTGGTGACCAATAGTGTCTAGATGAGGAGTCCTCAAACTACAGCCCGCGGCCTGCCAGGTGTTTTTGCCTGTTTGTTTTTTTACTTCAAAATAAGATACGTGCAGTGTGCATAAGAATTTGTTCATAGTTTTTCTTTAAACTATAGTGCAGCCCTCTAACGGATCTGAGGGACCGTGAACTGGGCCCCTGTCTAAAAAGTTTGAGGACCCCTGATTCAGGAACTAGGTCATTCCAGGGGGTCTAGGCTGCAAAAAGAGGTAGGCTACCCAAATTCACTGGATGGTGATGACATGGCCACAATCTTAAACTCCTGGGATGTGGTTAGTTCTAAAATAGACGGCGGGCCAATGCTGCAGAACGTCCCGCTGCTGCAGGCCACCTTCTTTGGGTACCGTGCAGTGTGTCGTGGGCCCCAATGGACTGGCTTTTCTTTCTGCTTGCCTTGTGGGCCGGTTGGATACCTCCAGTCCAAGGGCAAGTCTGTTCTTGAAGAACTCCTTCAGAAAAATGGGTGGAATGAAACCACAGCTAAAAGCATGTGTGTTCAAATTAAACCTGAAAAATGAACAACAGCTGCTTAGATAATTTATTTTAGAATCATACGTGTCTGCGTGAGAATAACCTAATTACGGATTCCTGTTTAGTTCTTTTGTAATTGCAGAGTTATATTTTTGCTGCTGTCATGTTAAAATAATTTCTAATTGTCATCCTCAAGTAAGAATTGTGTATTTTAATTGCTAATCCAAGAGTAAAGACCACTTTTTAAATGTGTACAGTGTCTTATTTTTTTCTGTGTAAAAGCATAAGTGTTGAAGTAAACACATTGCCTGTATTGGAAGTGAGGTGATTATGAGCTAACTGGTTTGGTCAGACATCATACACAGATTTTGAAATCCTATACAATATACTTGTGAAATTCTCTTGTCTAACCTAAATTTACATTCCATGGTAATAACATGGTACATGTATTCTTATTAAAAGTAAATGAAACACAAACACACAAAAAAATCATAAGCTTTTTTTTTTTTATTAAGAAAGCATGCAAAAAAACAACAACTTGTGAGACCATACACCCCCTTCCCAGCCTGCACCAATGCAAAGCATTATGGGTGGTATGAAGAACTCACCAAACCAGAAACATGAGGGTTGAGGAAGACAGGGAGGGTGGATCTACACCACAGGACTGCTCCTTCTTTCCCTCTCCTACACTTTCTCCCTTGTTTCCTCCTGAAGGCAGTGAGCTCCTGCAATTTTGTACACATCACCCAATACAACAACAATGACTATACTTCAAGCCCAGCAACGCCGGACCAACAAGAAAAAGTAGTATTCTTCCCACTTGGGCGGGGGGGCTGAAGCCCAAGAAGAGCCAGGTTTGTCCTACGCCATTGAGCAAGGCTGTGCTTAGCAGAGGGGAACAGGAATCCCAAGAGGCCTGATGACCCATCTCCAGATCCAGCCCCAAACTTCAATTAATTCTGGCTGCCCACCAGGCTTCTCAATGATACTAGTTTTCAGAAGACACTGGTGCATGATAAACAAAGGATATCGCATGTATCATTTAGTCTACCTAGCCAATGTTGAATGGATCTGAGCAGGAGAGAAGTTTAGAAACGAGGAGTGATAATCTGTAAAGAGGGAAGTCTTGAGAAGAAATGACTGAAGTTATGTGTAGGAGGAATAAGGAAGAGATGCCTACAATAGAAACATGTACAAAGGCATTTTGCCACCCTCTAAGAGAAATCCTCCTTTCCCCACTGGGAAATGTTATGTCCGACTTCAGTTGTACTAACTGCCCTCAAGGTAATAGGGGATTCAAGTCATCCACCCCATTGCTTTCCGGCAAAGGCTTCAAAGAAATAAAGTGCTCTTTAGCTAGCTGTCCCTTGTTGCCCTGACTTCAAAGCCACTGGACTTCTTCAACAAACTCTCACATATAATCCTTCCAAAGAAAGTAAAGTGGTGGATGAAGGGAGAAAAGAAAACAGAAAGCCAAATTTCCTAGAAACCAGGGGAAAATAAAAGAATAGGAACGAAAAGCCCCAAGGAGAAATCACGGAGTGCCTTGTCCATTCCACCCTTTCTGTCCCGCAGCTCCTAAAAAGTGAAAATGGCATGAAATGCAAACAGAAGTGAAATTGTTCCTCTTCCTCTAATATCCAATGTTAAAGATACATTGAGTACGTTGTAGCAATACATCATGGCCACTTCCTATTCAAGGAAATAAGTTACCCCCCATTTTTTTCTGGGAGTCCCCTTGACCTTCATGGAACTCTTGCCTCGATACTATTTGCACCCCTTTGCCTCTTGCCTTTACCCCCCAAAGCCTAATTACAAAAGCTTGCATTCAAATCAACTGGATTCCTAGACAAGCATTGCCTAGATAGTTAAATAACTGAAATGCCCCTCACTCATCTCTCTGCCAGCTCCCTTCTCCTTCTCTCCTCTGTCTACCACTAACACCCTGGGGTTTAATTCAGCTATGAGAGGCGAGAAAGACATTCCCATTGTGTCTAAGGATCTGATGACACTCAAGAGTGACAAAAGATTACTTTGTCTTTCTGGAGAACCCTAGGAAATAAAGAAAGAAAAACAGATGTGTAGGCTATTCCAAACAACTAAGGAAAGAAAATAAAACAATTGCTGGATGGGAAAGAGGGGTGGAAGAACGACCATTTGTAAATGCCACAATGAGAGCCACAGTTCGGGGTAAGAGAAAACGGCTCTTAAAAACCCCAAAATGGCTAAGGTGAAATTGTCTCCAGGATGGTACACCTTTCTACCTGTGCTGATGCTGTCCTCATGCCCTCTGCCAGATAAACAGAGTTCTGGCGAACACCAACCCTATCCACCCCACTTCAGATGGACTCACATTCCACCCACCAAGCCGCGATGCTCTACAGGGGGACCAGCCGAGGCCTCTCATTCCACTCTCCTCTACGACGTTTAGTGGGGAATGAGGATTGTCAGAAGTCAGGGTCGAAGGTACAAAGGGACAAGGGAGAGGCCAGAGGGCAGAATTAGCACCATTGAATAAAACCGGCAAATTCATGACTGCTAAGCAGTGTTTTAGACCCTGTCTACTTGAAAATGTGGCCTCTCCAGTCCTGGATCGAAACTGATATGAATAGGAAACAATTTAGGGCCAGAAGGTGGGATCAGAATTGAAGTTTTCAAAGACAAAGACAAATCAGAACTTATAATGGCCACATTTTCCAGCCTGGTAATTTTAAAATTAGCAAGGAGTGGATACGGTCCAAGGTGTAGGGATAGGAAACTGGGGACAGCACACAGCCAATAATAATAATAACAACAATAATATAATAAGAATAATAATGGAAGAATTCGGAAAGAACAGGAAGGAAGAGAGAAGAACGAGGCAGAAAAGAGGGGTTTCTTCGGCAGCATCTTGCAGGTGGCTTCTCTGACAGAGAAAGAAAAAGAGCGAGCGAGCAACCGAGAGAGAGAATACATATCTCGATACAGGCCAGGGGAAGGGATGGGCTGGGGCTGCTGCTTCCCCGCCAGGCTTCACCACCCTGATCCGGCCCGGGCCGATGTCCACACGCTGTGAAGCACTAAGTGATCAAGTCCCAGTCGAAGTCATCCGGGATCTCCTCACTGGCGCTGGGAGGTGGGCCTGGTGGCCGAGGGACCATGTGGTGTGCTGTTAGGAAGAGAGAGAGCGAGAGCGAGAGAGAGTTGAAAAGGAGCATGGCTGGGAAGCTAGCCTATCAACCCCGAGAGACTGTGCTCGGGTCTAAATGAGAAGGTGAACAGGGCTTGCAGAGTTAGGGTCCTTACCAGCCCAGAGTCACCTTTGTGGCAGGCTTTCATTCCCGTGAGTTCTCGGGGCGTCAGTGGTCACATGGCAATCAAATAGTATACAGCCACAGGGACATTTATGAAGACTATGTCAAATTTTAAAAGCTATATGTAGGAAGACTCCGTAATTATGAGAGGAAACATACAGAAGCCCAGCCGAATGAAAAAGGACCTAATCCATGTTTTCATTTATAGTACATGAACATTGAATACACAGACAAGGAGCCGGCTATTTCCCCCCAAAATGGAAAATGCTTCGAGTTAGGTAAACTTATAAGCAAACAAACAATTCGGACTCCCAGCAACCTATAGAACAGAGTAGACCTGCTCCCCCGGGTACGCGAGGCTGTAATCTTTATGGAAGCCATTGTCACACCTTTCCCCTCAGTGGCTGGTTGGCTTGAACTGCCGACCCCTTGGTTAGCAGCCAAGTGCTTTAACAACTACTCCAATGTGACATTTCTAAAAAGAACTTCAATGTAAAGGATCTTCTCATGTTGGACTGACAATCCGTGGCCACTTGGGTGCCCCACTTCGCCTAAAAGAGAGAGCTGCTCCCCAGGCTCCTGATACTGGCTGCCAAGTGCATAGACACTGGCCCCGGGCAAGAAGGTCTGGGTAACACATTCATTTTCTTTCCCTCGGTTCATCCTCTTCTATGTTCCAAGCTAGGCAGAAATGTTCTCCATTATTTTTCTTTTCCTTATAGTTATGCTTTTATTCCTTTCCGTATCACAGAGATAAGTTCATATTTTCATGGAAATCTGCCTCTTTTACTTCGCTGGCATCCGCCTCCCTAGCACGTGGCTCCCAGCCGGCTTTGGGAATCATGGAGGCCCGCCCACTCCTGGCAGATGCAGGCACGGGGCCATCGGAAAGTGAAACAACTTGTCTGGGAAGAGGGTGCTGAGGCTGGTGGTGAAGCAAGCTTCCTGGCTCTTACCTGGGCGATTGTACGCTGCTGGCTCCTGGGTGGGGATCGGGTACATTGGGGATGGGCCAGGGTAGAGGTGCCCATAGGAGTTCACTGCGGAAGCAAGAGAAGAGTTACTTGAGTGAGTCCCAACAGAGAGGGGGGGGCGGGGGGGGGGGGGAATGCACTCTTCTATCCCTTAATATCCCTCCGTTGGCCTGGAGGCGTTCTGCAAAGGCTCTCAGCCCTTATGACTTAGGGTAGGAAGTGGCTGGATACTAGAATTGCAAAATGACAAAGCAGACCGATGACAGAGACAGGAACAGGATCTTTGAGTGCCTCTCATGCCACCGGTTAGAAGACCATATAAATGCAGGGAATCACCACCCCGCCTGATCCCATCCAGGTGGGGCTACTTAGACACAAATCCCAAACAGGGGATTTTTCCCTAACAAAGCACTCTGTTTCTTAAATAATTTTGATCTTCCAAATCCAGTTCTGAAAGGAATGTTATGGTCTATTTCTTTTGTGCATTTTCCCCTGATATTACAGATATTCAGCCAATGTGGCTGAACAAACTATCCCCACCACTCAGTGTGGGCCACTGCCCATGAAATGATTTCTCTTGATTCTCTTTGGCCGGCTCCTCCCTGCCTCCCATCTCATCACAGTGTCTAGCTCCTTGATGACTTGCTTTGTGCAATACCTTGGTTCATGGTTGATTCCTGTTTGCCACTGGTGAGGGCACAGGAGTCAGCAATTCGGGCAGAGGCTGGGAGCCGGTGGGAGCCACCTTGGGGGGGTACGTGACCAGTCTGGGTAAGGAAGTGGTTGAGGGAGTCGCAGAGATTGGCAATATGATGCTGGTCCAGGCTCCAGTTCTTCTGCTCCGCCTGTCGCAGGCTCTCCATCAGTTCTACAACAGGAGGACAATCAGTCAACACTGGCCTTGTTGAGGCCCCCAGATCCCTAGCAGATATCTCCCAAAAGCAGCTTAAACCAACACCACTAGCAATATAGATTCGCAATAATCATTTACATGTTTTAGAGCTCTTTAGAGTGTTGCCAAACTCTCCTTCTATTTGTTCCTTACTAAATGCTTATTGCTTATTTCCATCTCCTTGATGAATAAACTCCACTTTAAAGAAAAGGAATGAATCAGGCATCGTCACACTGGTCAATAAGGAGGAGAAAATAATGTCCTGACATTGAAATCCAGGGGCAGTGGTTTCAATTCCGTGGTAGAATTCTCACTTCCCAGGAAAGTGAGGGCCGATGCCCAGGGAGTATCCCTCAAGCACTGCAACCTCTGGCAGTCACTGGAAACGTGTATGCATGTGGCTGCCGAAGTGATTTCAGCAGGGTTTTCAGACTAACACAGATTAGGAAGAGAGCCCTGGTGAGCTACTTCCCCCAAACCAGTCAACGAAAACCCCGTGGACCACAACAGTCCCATCCTGTTGTACAGGCATGTGGGAGTGAGATACATTCATGTGGGGTAGACCTACTCCTGGTTAGGGATGGGGTCAATTTTGTCAATCAAGTCACAGCCTGATGACTCCTGCATGGTAGAAGAGGGTGAGACACTGGGGACAGCTCGCTCTCTCCCTTCATCTTCCGGCTGGATGACCTCCCTGAGGGCTGCCCATGCCCTTCCAGGTTTCCCTCAACCTGTCCTCTGAATCACTGCTTGTGGCTGCGTGAGTCTGAAGAGGGACTCAGAGACTCGTATTGGGCTTATGGACTTGAGTTGGGCTCGGCGGGGATGTTTTCTCGATATATAATGACTTCTTTTGGATATGAAGCTCTTTCTTACCCATATAGGAGTGTCACTGGAATTGTTTCTCCCATCAGCCCGGCCTACCATTGTGCTAACACAATGAGGTGGCCATGAGTTGGAGGCTGGCTCTACGGCCGCTAACACCGTCCCCCACCCCAAGGGTTTCTAAATTCTGGAGAGCATCCCCTCTCTCTCTCAAAGATCACCACGACAAGGATAAAGCATGGCTGGATTTTAAGTTAAGGCCAAAGTAATGTATAAAGAACATGAATAAAAATTTTTAAAAAGAGCATGAACATTGTCCATCTTATATAATCTGAAGGGGAGACCATGAAACCCTTGCTCTCCAAGCTTCACGTAGCCATGCCCTCCTGTTTCTGGCTTCTGTGGGTTTTTCATGCACCCCTCCTTCCCTCCATTCATCGTCCTCAGAACACTGACCTGAGAACTGTGACTGCTCGATGCTGGACCAATTGAGCCGATTCACCATCTTGAAGCTTTCTTTTAAGGAGTCGATATTGGAGCACCAGTCGGAAGGAAATGCTGGAGGAGAAGATAATAAGATAAAGTGTAAGCTGAGTATATGCAATATCCTTGCATCCTTTGTACAACTCTCTAATATCTTCAAACCACTGAATTGCTATGGTACATGAATTAAGAGTCAAGAAAACTGTTAAGGAAAAAAAATATTCTTGCATCTACACAGGTTATCCATTGCATGATGAAAATCATTGTAGGTTCTCCCTTCCTGGGTGGTCTAAATGGTTAATGTGCTTGGCTGCTAACCCGAAAAGTTGGAGGTTTGAGGCACCTCCAAAGAAGGGTCTGGTGATCTACTCCCCCAAAATCAGCTAGTGAAAACCCTTTAGAGATGTTCTCAGTAAGAGCACACAATGTATAAATTATTTAAAAAGGAAAACAGAAACCCCTGTGAAGCACTCTGATGCATACGGGGTCACCAGGAATCAGGATTTACTTGACAACAACTGAGAGAGACTTAGGTAGATGAAGCTACCTATGGTGGGCACAAATGGCTAAGTGCTCAACCACCAACTAAAAGGTTGGCAGTTCGAACCCACCTAGAGACTCCTTGGAAGCCAAGCCTAGCAACCTGCTTCTTAAATGTTCCAGCCTTGAAAACCTGGTAGAACAGAGCTGCACTACACACGGGGGAGGGGGGAGGGTGTAGGGAACTGGAATCACAATGGCAACTAACAAAATGTGTTAGGTACAGTTCAGCCTAGAGACAGGAGAATAGATACACATAAATTGTTTTTTAAAATCCCAATTTGGCCAGGGAGTCTATAAAATAGAGCTAGCTCTACATAGCAACTTTCTTCCTCTCCCGTAAGCTCTGACAGGCGGGCGAAGCTAAAACAGACCCTTATATTCCAGGACACCCATAGCTGCATGTCCACTCCTAGATTCCTACCCTAGTGCTCCTCCCTGCCGGAGCCAGAGAGCCATCTCATTGTGCCCCCACCCCACTCACCAAAGCCAGCACTGTTGATGGGAGCCTGGCCTTGAGCCTGTTGCTGCGGTGGGGGTGGCTGCTGGGCAGGGTGGGAGTGGGGGTGGTGCTGATGAGGGTGGTAGCCTCCATGTTGCAGTGGGGGTGGGTGCATGCCCATTACGGAGGGAGGCCCATAGCCTTCAGCCACAGCTTGCTTCCCCCCTGGTGGGGTACAACCATCTGGGCTTGGGGTGTGCAGTGGGGGAGCACCCCCCACACTCGCAGGGCCCTGGGCTGGCGGCGGCGGCTGCAGCTGTGACTGCTGGGGCGACGGCTGGGGCGGTGGCTGCTGCTGCTGCTGGGGCGGCGGCGGCTGGTACATGTAGTAGTTGTTGGAAGGCGTCATGTCCCCCAGCAGAGTCGAAAAGCCTGGAGGGTGAAGAGGAAGCAGACACGTGACTGGGGGCAAAACATTTTTCGCTGGAATGGATTTTCCCCGCGTTGAGATGGGAGGCCTCCGACAGACCCCGCGGAGGGACAAAGGTCAAGTTGTATGATCCATGGAAAAATAAAGGAATAGAAACCAACGATAATGGTCATTAGAGAAAGGTGGCTGTAGATACGATAGTAACCGATAGCAAAGCCACACAATTAATTGTGTTAGGCATAATACCGGCAAGGTGGGTAGCGGAAAGCCTTTATCGTTTACGGATGCACACTGAAATAGCGTTTGTGGGTGGAACGACATGCCGTCTGAGAACAGCTTTTAAGTATTTCGAGTTTTAAAATGTTGATGAGTAAAGGAACAAATTAAACAAACTATTGGTAACTGTTAAAATTAAGTGATGGGCACACGGGGGTGGGGGTGGGGTGTTATTATACTACTTCCTCTCTTTTTGCAGCTCTTTTAAATTTTTCAGAAGAAATCGTAACATAACATGCACCAAAAAGGAAACGTTTTCAAACACCGAAAGGGAGGGGTTCTTGGGGAGGGAATACTCTGCTGTCCCCTAGTGGCCATCTTTATAAATTGCTTGCTTGCAGTCAGAAAGGTCTCTGCCCTTAGTTCCGGAAGGGGGATTCCTCTAACTGACTTCCTGAAGCTCATAACCCAGAGACAGGCTCCTGAAACAGCTGCTCTCCGGAACTCGGCCAGGAGAGCTCAGGGACTTGTTTCTCTGAGCAGAAACCAACCCCTCCTTGCACCAAAATTAAGAAAGCAGGTAGAGAAAAGGCAGTCGGCCCTCCCCATCCCACCCCCCAAGGCAAGGACATCCCTGCTCCCAACTGCAGACTCACCGTGCTGTGAGGAGGAAGACGACTTTTCCAGCATGGATTTGTAGAGGTTGCGGAAGGACCAGCTTAAGTCCTGAAAATTGATCTCGGAGTAGGAGAATTTGAAGTCGTTGTTGGTGTTGTAGAGGGGAGGAGGGCCTTCGGCACTCTCCCGGCCAGGAGCCCCGGCTGCCACTGCTCCACCATCCACAGATCCTGTGCCCTACAAAGAGGCAAGAAGAACCCGATGCAGGCGCTTACTGGGGACCAGTACAAGCCCACGATGGCGATGGCCGTCAGGCTCCCCAGCCTGCCCGGCTTCACCATTCCCCCTTGGACTTCAAAGGCCCTGCATGATTTCCTCTTTAGCGATCCTGATCTCTCGACTCCCTCCTTCTCTCCTCCCTCTCCATTTCTTCGACATTCATGTCCGTCTTACACTTTTTAGCTCCCATTCTTTTTTTTACTACTTTTCCCCCTTCTTCTTTTTGATCGTTCTCAAAGTTCTGTTATGCCTCTCTCCACGTGCATGCCCTGTTTCTCTTTCAATTTCCACTTCTTTCTTAACGTAACCTGCCTGCTGTATCGCCCATAATCAACAAACAATTTTGAACAGGGAGATGCACGCATCTATTCAAGCATCCACCCAAGCGCCCATCTTTAGGCCACCTCTGCTTCCTACCTGGCTGTAGCTGGCGAGGGATGCAGGACTCTGAAGGGACATCTGGGGATTGCCCTCCGGAGGCAATGAGGCTTCGCCACTCCCAGGCATGCCTCCCCGTGGGCTTTTGTTTGCCTCCTGCTCAGGTGAGTCTTGGGAGAGCTGAAGGTTGTGAAGAAAAAGAAATCTATCAACAGAGATGCCGAATCCTCCCAGTAGCCATGGTTGCATTCTGTCTTTACTCAAAATAGAAGAAAGGATTGAAAATGCAGGAAAGGAGGTAGGGGGAACAACTGGTTCAGAAACGGCACCTCCCCCGGAAGTGGGAACAACTTACATCATCATCTGGAGGATGCCTTCTCTTTCGGGAAATGTCAGGGCAGGTGTCAATTGTCCAATAGGAGCCCTGGAGAGAGAACCCAATCCACAGAGAACAAAATCACTGTATGTGGAAGTACCGAGCTTGTGGAGAGTAGACATTTTTGATTACCACATAAAATAAGTCTTAATAAGAAAGTTAATGTCTCCAAAGCTCCTAGAAATGCACAGGCAGCCCTGCGGTCCATCCAACACAGGCCTCAACCGTCCCAGCTCAAAGAGCTGGAAAAGTCCCGGCATGACCCTTCTCTTCCTTCGTGACTTGAGGAATGACCCCCTGGGACTTGGACTTTAGCATCCGCAACTGTCAAATGAAGACAATGATCCTGCTCGTCACCCTTCTGACAGTTTTGAAGTAAAAATCATGGGGAGTTTAGAGATAACCATTTCCCCAAAGGTTACTACATGGAGGAGAGGGGGGCAGTACGAGTCAACTTTAACATAACTATGCCTATTAAACAAATAAAACAAAACAATTTCACAAGAGTTTTTGGTCACTTATATGTAGTACGTGGTCACAGTTTGTCAACCAAGTTCTTCCTTTAAGATAAAATAGAGCTGCTTCTCTCATTAACAGGATTTCCTCTTCTGGGTAGGTAATTAAAACCACCACTGGCCATTCAACTTCCCTCCCTTTCCTGCTTCTCACCTTCCCAGGGTCATCTCGAGGTCTGGGCACCTTCCGGAAACACTTGTTGAGAGACAGGTTGTGCCGAATTGAATTCTGGAGAAGCAGAGAAGCACGTTAGATCTGAGCATTATGCAAAGTACAAAAATTCCCAATGGAACACCAAACAAACTTACTGTCACCCAGTGGATACCAACTCACAGCGACCCTGTAAGGACAGGGTAGAACTGCCCCTTGGAATTTCCCAGGCAGTAGCTCTACTCTTAACATGAGCAGAAAGCCCATCATTTTCCCTCAGGGCAGTGAGTGGTTTCAAACTGCTGAAGTTTGTAGCTACCCGCTCAACGTGCAACCACTGCGCCACCAGGGCTCGTCAGTGGAACGAAGGGGTCTAAAATGCACAACGCGCTAACGACAACCAGTATGAGAAAGGCGAAAATGTTCTGAAATTGACTGTGGTCCGACTGAACCATTACATTGTATGATATGTGAATTATATGCCAAGAAAACTTTTAAAATCACACTACACTCTAAAGCAG